ATCTAGGACTGGGCATTTGCGGCTGTCAGAGTTTCCCCGCTGGCTGTGGCGTGCGGCCGACCAGAGTGCTGGCCTGGAGAGACAGGGCGGGTGGTGCAGGCTTTGCACTTCTCGTCTCCCTACGGCTACACGCGCAGCCCCCGTCCGCTTATGAGGGAATCATAAATTATTAAGGTTGGAAAAGACCTCTGAGATTATTAAGTCCAACTGTCAACCCTCCACCACCAGTGCCCATTAAACCGTGGAGACCTTATTGCTCTCTACAGCTACCTGAAAGGAGGTTGCAGTGGGGTGAGTGTTGGTCTCTTCTCCCATATAATCAGTGATAGGATGAGAGGAAATGGCCTCAAGTTGCAGCAGGGAAGGGTTAGGTTGGATACGAGGAAAAATTCCTGAAAGTGGGGTCAAGCACTGGGAACAGGCTGCCCAGAAAGGTGGTGGAGTCACCATCCCTGGAGGGGTTTACAAAGTGTGTGGATGTGGCACTTCAGGACATAGTTTAGTGGGCATGGTGGTGTTGGGTTGACTGTGGAGCTTGATGATCTTAGAGGTCTCTTCCAACCTTAATGAATCTATGTCCCAAAGTACCACATCCTCTTTGGACACCTCCAGGGATAGTGACTGCACCACCTCCCTGGGCAGCCTGTTGATCCAAGATCTGAGTCTAGCTTAGAGCCATAACTTGTCATTCTCACAAAAAGTAAATCTCTATTTTCATCGTCATCTTGTAATATTTATTTGAAAGTAATAGAGAATAGTGCTCAATATCAGGCTTTTGATTAGAGGCAAACAGTGAGCAATAAAGATTTACAGAATGGTTTTGAACGTAATTCTCAAAGTCCTCATCTATACGAACAAGAGAATTACAGGAGCTTCCGTACAGGAATAGATACTTATGTCGGCAGAGCCTTCATCTGTGGTACAAAGCAGTGGAGAACTCTTACTGTGCTCACATACACAGGAAAAGGCACAGGGGCTTCTGTGGCCTGGCCGCGGGGGCTAAAGGGCAGCCAGGGTAGGTGGTGGGTTCAGGGAGGTGTGTGCTGCTCAGCTGTAGCCACTGGAACTTATAAGTTACTCAAAGGTCATGTCAGAGCTTGGTGTTCATCAGCTGTGGGGGGGTATCATTACTGCAGACAGTTGGATTCACAGTTCACTGTGCTCTGCCGTAAGTAAACTAAGCACTTCTCTCTCATTGGCCGCTAACTCTTAAAAAATGACCTAAAAAATGTACCCAGAGTCAGCAGATATCAACTGGCAACCTGTTAATCTATCAGAAATGACTGGGAAAATACATGTGGGTGCTCAGCTGTGTATCTAATTTATGCATTTTACATGAAGCTGTGAGGCACGTTATGTACTTGCTAAGCAAGTGCATATTTGAGCGTGTATTCCCACATCTGTGATCTTAATTTGTGAAAAGGTGGGTTATGGCTGACAGCGTGCTATGGTTTTAATTTGAGACAGTGCTTCATAATTTTCCTTTCCTTCCTAGAACTGTTTGAGAAGAAGAACTATGAGCTGAGAATAGCAGGAGGTGCTGTGAGGGATTTACTAAGTGGAATGACACCACAAGATATCGATTTTGCCACTACAGCTACACCAGCAGAGATGAAGGAAATGTTCACGTCTGCTGGTGTTCGTCTGATCAATAACAAAGGAGAAAAACATGGAACCATTACTGCCAGGGTTGGTTTACGATTTGACTTGGATTTTTTTCTAACTGTATCTGTGAATGAGCAGCATATCCAACAGAAAACTGGCAGCACGCTCCTTCTTTGATAAAGTATCACAGTAAGAGTTTAAGTGAAACCTTGCGTTATAGTATGGTGTGATTTTTTTGATTATTTTTTGTTTGTAGAATTCAATTAATTACCATATTTTAATGCGTGTTATTTCTGCATTACCCATTATTGCTGCTGTGTCATCACTTGATAGGATAATGCGGGCTGCCCACATCTTCAGGTGATGTGTGGAAGTTGATCCTGGTCTTACCTGCTCCTGATTTCCCAAACTTTGTTTCCTCTACCTTGCTTGTTCCTCTGCCTCTTATTCTCTCTTCTGCAGGAAGATTTCTGTACACTATCTAGAAAATGAATAATGCAAGGATTGTGTGCAGGTGTTTGTATTTCTTGATTGTCAGCTCCGTATGAATACATGGTACATATTGGTTTGCATGTATCCAGCCTTAGCACTAACTGTAAACGAGCATGAGGCTGAAAAAATATATAGCTTTAATGCTGATACCCATGATTGCGTTGAAGTAACAATGTCTGTGGGATTTTCAGCTCCATGAACAGAATTTTGAAATTACTACTCTTAGAATAGATGTTGTCACCGATGGACGACATGCAGAGGTGGAATTTACCACTGACTGGGAAAAGGATGCTGAACGGCGGGATCTGACTGTCAATTCCATGTTTTTAGGTAAATTATTTCAAAACCAAATACTTAGATGAATACTGCTTCCTAAATTAAGGCAGTAAATTCTCAGTCTGTTTCAATTTTGGTTTTCTGCTGCTGTCAGCTGAAAGGTGTGAACAAATATGTGAGGTGATCTGACAAACCAGGTCAAATCACACAACTTGTCTTCTGTATTTTCAATTGAAATTGTTTAATTGTGCCAACCATGTTTGTAAATTCATATTCTTCTATTTTTTCTTTTTTTTCTAGGTTTGGATGGGATGCTGTATGATTTTTTTAATGGATATGAAGACTTGAAAAACAAGAAAATTAGATTTGTAGGAAAGGCAAGTGAGAGAATACAAGAAGATTATTTACGAATCCTAAGATATTTCAGGTACTAGGTTTTCCCTTTCTTAGATAAAGAAATGAAGCATTATGGAAAGTTTCAGAAACATGCAAAAGAGATCAGTAATGTCAGAAGAGTTATAACTGTCATATTGTTAAGTTTGCTCTAGTATTATAAATCAGAATATTTAACTCTGTCATGACATTGGTTGTCTGAATAGCAGTAATAAATGGAATCACTGTTCTCAGTCTAACATACAGAGGTCTTATTTGGGCAGGTTTTATGGAAAAATCACAGAGAAACCTGGTGATCATGAACCTAGTACACTGCAAGCAATTAAAGAAAATGCCAAAGGTTTGGCTGGAATATCAGGAGAAAGGATTTGGGTGGAACTGAAAAAAATTCTTCTTGGAAACCATGTAAATCATTTGGTTCGACTTATGTGTGAGCTGGATATTGCCCAATACATAGGTAAAGTGAAATAAAGATTGATTTCCTACTCCTATAATGCAAAATCCTTATGCAGACAGAACTGCAGCATGGCAGAGAGAAAAGTTTTTACTCAGAAAGAAATTGGATTTTCTTTCTGCATTAACATCCACATTTCTTACTAACGCTCTTTCGTTCTTGTACTTTCTGTGTATGTATCCTTTTAGGACTACCACTTGATGGAGATCTAGAGGAGTTTGACAGAGTCACTAAAAATATTCAAAATCTGTGTCCAAAACCGATGACTGTTCTGACATCGTTGTTCAAAGGGAAGGATGATGTCACAAACCTTGATCTGAGGCTAAAAATCTCAAAAGAAGAAAAAAACCTTGGCCTTTTTTTAGTGAAGCACCGGCAGGAGTTAACAAAAGCTATGGGTCCAGAACCACTTAGACCATATCAGGACTTTCTAATGGATGTAAGTGTATTTCATATTGCTTTATTTTGTTCTCCACAGTAAACTGAATTTCCAGTTTTACAGAGTCACAGAGATGACAAAGCCCAGTGGAAAGAAAGGGCCTTAAATAGTCAAGTAAGAGCCTGGTGTTCCCCAGGGCTCAGTGCTGGGTCC